TCACAGTTTTTTATCAATACAATAATCTCGGTATTTTTACGAACCAAAACTGTAATGTCTTGCTACATAGTACCAATTATTAAAAATTGGTATAAATTCCAAGAAATTGGGACATCTAACATTACTGTACGGCGGACGTGATTCTATCTAATAATACCGAATCCCCACATTTGCAACGCGCGGGGCCCCCTCTGGACCCCACATTGCGCCACTGCCGTCATCCCTATAACTTTATTTATTTTATGATTCATACAAACAGTAGATATTAACAATCAGAAAATCGGGCATTAATAACACCAATTATTCAATAACTTTCTTAAAGAAACAATTTCTTCCTTTTCATTGGGTTTCACTCCACTTACTTCATCTACAGCTGTTTACACCAGTCAATTTTAAAGGAAATTCGTCCCCGTTTTCGCAAGGTGTTAAGAAATTTGTTTAGAAGATATACTCGAGACTTGGGGAGTTGACAAAGTAAACGATCCCTAGTTGTTCCTTTGCAAACAGGGGCATGAATAAGCGTTCAAACTGCACTACCTTTGTAAGGTAAACCCTTTATAGGAAACTAAGGAAGTTGTCTCTCTCTTGTTACAATGGAAAATTACATTTAGCATGTGAAAGGGTTCGTGCTAAAATTTCTATTTCAAACTTCCGTTTTTATTAACTTGTTGTTATTATCAGAAATAGGACGGGTGTCCGCTAGATTTGACATTTTGTTTAGAATCCGGCTGGATGCAGGATAACCGACAGCGCCAGGTAATTCAATCAAAGCAAATAAAGAAAGAAACAGCAATAATAATAAGAAGTGTAACGAAACCATTACATTATTAAGAATTCAAAAAACAGCATTGAATCAATTTGACATTGAAGTTCTAATGAGATCAAAAAGGCCATATCGCTAGCTGTACCTAAAAGAATGTATCATAAAATTACGTTACGTGTACAAAAATTTTAAATAATCTATATGTTACATACTTGAAAATTCGTTAATTTTCTATAATATTTTTTTTTTAATGCTATATCCATTTATAAGTATTCTCAAAATATATCACGTTCTTTTTGTAAATTAATAAACTTTGAATATTTATAAAGAAAGTTTATGAAATTTAAAATTTAAGCGTAAGGTAGAGTAAATAGAGTAACTCAATAACATTATTCATACACGCGTATGGTGCTTTTTAATGAAAAAAAGTATGAATTGTGATATATATTTGGATTTGTCAATAACTTCAAATATTTTACATTAAAATTTAAATGACATTCTTTTATAGTAGCATCACCGCTGCGGGACTTTTTTTCCCATGCATACTCATATTTTTTTTTTACTTTTATTTATTTTCAACCACACTGTTCAGTTGATGCCGCTTCCATTTTATTTAAAACTGTCTCTAACTCCTTACTAGATGCTGATACCGCTATACCATCTGCAAATGTAAGCATACTAATCTTTTGCCCCTGTATAAATATATCCTGTTCTGTCTTTAATGATGCTTATCGCGTTTATTAATTAAGTAAATAAACAAATAATTAAATTGGCAAATCTTTGCAACAAGAAACATGCTGTAAACACCCGACTGTCACTATATTGTACTTTTTCGAAATATACAGGGTGTTTGGTGTTTCTGAAAGAAGTAACAAGCTTGCAGGAAGTGATAAAGATAAAATAAGAAAATTAAGTAAATATTCGAAAGTCCACCGTTTTCGAGAATAACGTATTTAAAAGTACATGCAAAAACCAGTCCGGCCCTGGTAGGATCACACAGGGAAATACAGCATTAGAACGCAGCATTACATCAGTCATTCTCTGTTCTTTTAACATTGTAGGCTTGTAAAATGTATGTAGTTAGTCGAAGTCATTGGCAGCGTGTAAGGGTCGTAGGTCAGTTCCGAATAGTATTATTGCATTGACCAATGCGTGAGTTTTTAGACGAACAGTTTCCTAAACGTTGGATTGACGTACGAGTCTTCTTTCTTTCTTAATTGAAAATATTCTGATTAAAATTGTTTCAAAATTAGATTACATACTAAGAGCTTGCAAATTTTACGAGGTGGAAACAATGAAAGGAAGGGATAAGGTAAAAATTTAAGTTTTTGAAGGCAAATTTAAACTTAATAAAGGAGAACTATTTGCATCAGTTTGATCGTTTAGTACAATATTTAATTTATTGCATTTATTAATATAAAGACTTTTGGCTAGGTTCAATTTATATCTCTTTGGCAATTCTTTTAAAAATTGAAAATTATGATTAAATGTGCCTATCTCCTTTAATAAATGTTCTGCATATGTAGAATCAGCTTTCCCATTAGTGTAACTCCTGCTACGTTCTGTAATCCTTTTATTGAAGGATCTCCCAGTTTGTCCAACATAGACTTGATTACAGTCCCCACATTCCAATAAATAAATTCCTGATTTTTATCCTTTATCAATTTTATTTTTATTAGGTTTTTTAAGCTAGTTGGTCACATTTACGAAACAGGAAATGTTCTAGAGGATTATAAACGGAACGTGATGATAACCATACCTAAAAAGAGAGGCGCGGATAGGTGCGAGACATTTAGAACAATTAGCTTAATTTTCCATGCGTCAAAAATCTTAACTAGAATTGTACAGGGTAGGATGAAAAAAAGGGCGGTTCTTCCGGGGACGGAAGAACTATTAGGCGAAGATCAATTTGGGTTTAGAAGAAAAAGAGGAACGCGGGAGGCCATTCTATCTTTACGTATAACAATAGAGAAAACTATAGAAAAAGGAAAGAGTGCGTACATAGGATTTGTAGATTTAGAAAAAGCTTTTGAATATTAAGTGGGTTAAGATGTTAAATATACTTAAAAATCTAGGGATGAGTTACAAAGATAGAAGAGTGATACTTAGTTTGTATAAAGAGCAACAGGCAGTTATAGAGCTGGGGCTGCAAGGTAGAGAAGTTAATATTAGGGAGGGAGTCAGACAGGGATCCACACTGTCACCGCTACTTTTTTAATCTATACATCGAAGACGCGATCAACATTATTAAAGACAGTAGGGATAGATATACAGGGGCAAAAGATTAGTATGCTTAGATTTGAAGATGATATAGCAGTATTAGCATCTAGCAAGGAAGACCTAGAGATAGCTTTAAATAAAATGGAAGCGGTACTGACAGATCAGTACTATATGAAAAAAAATAAAAGTAAAACTAAAATACTGATATGCAAGGGAAGAAAAAGTAGGGAAAGCGTAAATATAAAGTTAGGAGACGAAGAATTAGAAGTTGCTGATTTTAGACATCTAGGAAGTCAGATAAGTCAGGTCGGAAGGAGTAGTAGGGATATAAACCAGAGAATAGCGCAGGGTCGTGTCGCCATTAATAAAAATAAGTCAGTTCTACGCTCGCGAACGATTAATTTAGAAATTCAAAAAATTTTGTTATAGGTGTATGTATAGAACGCCGCGTTGTACGGGTGCGAAACATGGACAGTGGGCGTGGCGGAAAACAAAAGGTTAGAAGCGTTCGAAATGTGGTGTTATAGACGAATGATGAGGATAACGTGGATAGAAAAGGTTAGAAAATGAAGAGGCATTAGAAAGAATAGGAGAACAGAGAAGTTAATAAGAAATAGGCGAGATAGGTTGGTAGGACACCTTCTCAGGCATGAAGGTCTAGTCAGAGACATATTAGAGGCAGAACCAGGAGTTAGGAGGGGAAGAGGTAGACCTAGATTAGATTACTGTTCGCAAATAGTTAAGGATGTGGGTTGTTCTAGTTTTAGGGAAATGCGAAGATTAGCTCAGGATAGGAAAGAGTGGAGGTACGTGTCCAACCGGTCTTAAGACTGACGACCTCATGATGATGATGAGGTTTTATAAATTTGGCTAGCGTACTACCTACCAATTGTTGTGACTTATTAATATATATTTTTTGAAACTTACTTTCGTTTCCTTTAATTGATTATGGAGTTTCAACAAGTAAAGCCTTCTATCATTAATTACCAATCAATGATTACGTAATGTTAATTTTTTTCTTTTGTGTTCTTAATACCATATCGAGGTGTACACTTTAAATACCATAACATACTATCAGTGAGAAACAAATTATTTAACTACCTGTTATCGAAATGGACGTCAAAACATTATGTGTAGTCATCATCATCATAAGGCCATCAGTCCTAGGACTGGTTGGGCAAGTACCTTCACACTTTACTATCCTGAGCTAATAGTAGTGTAGTAATAATGAGGTGTTGATATTTGCATAATCAACACAACACAACCACCATTTTTTACATTCTCCGTCGATGTAGTTGCTTAGTTTTTATCGCAATTTCTTTGTATGTTGTTAATTGACGCCCAGGGCCGGCTTTGGATTACAACACCTACTGGTTTTCATAGGTCCCTTTACTCACCGTCCAATTTGAAATAGTTAATACCCTCCAATGCTTGTTACGTATTTTAGAAATACCCTATATTTCACCTTATAAGGACATCCCACGTATTTTTGGAAATTCTGATGAATAATACCCACCCTTCCTATTTAAATATGTTCCTCGACAAATGCAATAATTAAAATATTTATTGTATCTAATTTCAATATTTTTGTGGCCTTCTTTTTACATCATAGTAATACTTGAAGATGAATTATTTTCAAGATTAATAAACCGTGGTCAGAAGGATTGTTGTCCCTATGTTTTTCCTAAATTGAGGTAGACATTTTAAGGGCGATGAAGGTGTGAAGATGGACCTTTTTAATAGCGTGGGAATATAATTCTACAAACCATGGTCTATTAACAAGGAAACCAATTCATCTTCAATAGATGACGACCATGAAAACAATTATCACATTAATATTTAAAAATACAGGCATCGCCAACCAGTGGGTTAGGAGTGGAGGGAAAAAGATGGTTAGAGTATTGAGCAACAGATGACTTGACAATAAAATTTTACCTAGTCTGTAGGGATTACAACTGCCCCCACCCCCCAGTTAAATATTATACGAAGCATGAAACTCAAAATTTCTTATAAAATGTTTATTAAAAGCAGTACTTTGCATGTTTATAATTAAATACAATTTCTTAAATATCTAAATAAAACTAAATTATAGATTCAAATTCACATTTGGGCTCTAACTACGACATTAAATCAATACACAATGTTACAACAAAATATCAATACGGTTGTGAATAATGTCAATCTGACGGAGAAATATTCTGAGCAGCAGCTACAAGGGTGTCATGAATCTCTTTTGTAAATGAAATTTGCGAGTTAACAGTTAACAAATACTGTGGATAAGTCAATGTATTGTCTGGAATTCCTAAATTTTCACTACGAGTGGGAGCAACTGGTAAATGTAAATATTTACCCGCACTATCGCCTTGACTTAAGCATTTAATGGATGTTTTCTATAAAAAAATATATTTATTAGTATATGTGTGCCATGATTACAAGTTGTATCGACTGGTAAAAAAGAAAAACGCAAAAATGCTTGATAAAAGCAGTTAAATATTCATTACTTCATTATGATAATGGTACTAGCATGAGTTAAAAACTTTTATTTAGTTATATGGGATCCAAAGAGTGGGGTAAAAAAGTAAATTAACACAAAATCATTTATTATGAATTATAAATAATTGCAAATAAAAATAAGAGTAGACCGTTTCAAGGGAATACTTCATAATCATGCAGCTATTGTTTATACTAAATAAGTAGTATTGCCTTTACTCTTGATAATGACTACTTATTTGAAACAATTGTTGTGATTATGAAATATTTCGTTGAAACAGTATACTCTTTTAATTTTATTCATAAACTTGTTTCATCATAGCGCATGAATATTCGGTTTTAATCTTATAAATAAAAAACAATTTCCATTACTTAAGAGTAGACTATATACTTCAAAGTATTAATGAGGAACTAAATCAGCCCTCATTCATTATACAAACTTTGTAGATCTGGAGATCTACATGAAATATCTCATTGTAACTGAATTTTTTGCCAATCAGTGTAGTAACAAACTTACCAAATGCAATTCTATTTGATCACAAATGGAATAAAACTCTTCCAAACTTTTGTCAAAACGAGGTATTTGATTATCAAATCCTTTGCTTTAAAGTGAAAAAGACATTAGAAAGATTTGATAATTACAACAAACCCATGAAAATACTTACAGTGAGCCTATGTCAATTTGGCTATTCTGATTAAGAGTTTGAGCAGCTGATTTAATTGTATTCTATAAAAAAATTAGATATACAGAACAATAATTTAAAAGTGCTAATAGCATTTACAGAAAGAGACTCTCTTAAAGGTCCAATTAATGATTTAATTTTAGAAATGTTATCAAGTGGTTGAGGCGGCTGTTGCTGCTGTTGTTGTTGGGCAGCTTGTTGAGATTGTAGAGACATTCCTGGAACATTCATACTTTTAACAATATATCTCCTAAATACTGGAAATCAACGTATTGCACCAAAAAAACCAAACAAATTCGAATAAAACAGTTTACTTATAAGTTTAGTCAAGACAAATACAACCATAGATTAGAAATATAACCAATATGTAGTCGTGTGAATCTGGCACCCGATGTAAATAATTCACTAATTCAAACGTCACCAATAAATTGTACGTCTTTTGCGGGTTCAGAATATGTAAGTATTATAATTGTGCGTCCATCAGTTCTGTTAAAAAAAAGGAAAATTGTTTCGGGTGCAGATGGAAATTGAATATCAATTTATTCAGAAACTATTGAAGTTGTAATAATTTAATTGACGCCAATAGATTGCGTGTCATTTGTGCTTGAAGACTGAACTATTATTGCAAGTCCAGTTTATTTTCGTATTATTTATTAGTAATGATTATAAACAACACTAACCATGCACCATAGATATACACTAAATTTTTAAATGGCATTTGATTACTATGATCATATTATTATCTATGATTCACCAATGGTACACGCGTATTACTAATATCAATGAAAAATTAAGTAAGTATTGTATGTAATTATTAGTAATATTCATAAATAATATACAAATAAATTCCACTTACCATATTAGATCAGTCTTCAAGCGCAAATGACACGCAATCAACTGGTATTAATTAAATTATTATATCTTCAGTAGTTTTTCAATAAATTGACTTAATTTTCACCGGCACGCGAAACAATTCTCTCACTTTTTAACAGAACTAATGAAAGCACAATTATGATACCAACATATTTAGAACCCGCAAACATTGTACAATTTACTGGTAAAGTTTAAATCAGAAGATAAATTATATCGGGGGCCAAATCTATAGAACTTACCAATATATTACAAGTTTATAATAGATATTTCATTTTAGGACGCATTTGATGATTCCTAAGATGAGTAGATGGCGCTGATAGCACCGTCAGGAAGAAAAATGAACATTGAATGAAAGGTTGCATAAGCAAAATTGGTTTTGGTAAATAAATTAATGTAAATGACCCCTTCTTTCAAGCGAGGCAAAACGGTTGTCTATCCATAAGGAATGACGTATAAAATAAAAATTCCCAGGATAGTTGTAGCGCGAAAAGTAGTGTAAGCTTATTCATCCTAAATAACCAGGTAGATATTAAATAACAATAGAGTTAACAATGCCGGCAAATGACATTAATTGTACAAGTCTGTGTAGTTGTGAATGAGAATTATTAAAAATTGTGCCAAACTGATATTCAGTGTTTTTGAAAAAGGAAAAAGATGGAAGCACGTATTCAATGAGTAAGTATATAAAGGATTAAATTAAAAAGAAGCGATAAAGAAATGTTGCATAAACCAATTAATATTCCTGAATGAAAAATATTCAAAAATTACATTAATGTTACGTAGGTATTACAGTTGAAAAGAAAATATTAAGAACGCAACCATTTCAAAAATGATGTTAATAATTAATAGCAAATAAAAGTAAAGGTAATGTAAACAATTGCTCATATCTCTTTTATAACTGAGTGACTGACAAATAGCTACTACACGTGTGCATTTTATACAGGGAGACTACCTATTAGAATATTAAAAACTACTTCGATTTGCACTTTTGCAGACAAAATTTGGACAATAGCATAATTGGGTATCCTCTCCTCAATAATTAAAATAACAACATCTATGTAGCACCTCCGCTTTGACCAGAAGTTGACATCAACTTCATTATTTTAAATGGAACACCCTGTATATTGTGATGGTTTTAAATTCAATTTATGATTTTAGGTAGACTTTTATAATGCTTTCCTACTTCAAAAATTTACCGTTTTAGAGATATCAATTTTTTTTTTAAAATAGTAGTACAGAGCAATAGGTAGCCAAAAAGCATAGGTACCTATTTTACAGGAAGAAAGCTGGATTAACAATATTTTCAGCAAAGGTAACTGAACCCTCAAGCTTCCCTTCCATAATTTGAAAGTGGGTTAATTCCATGCAGAGTGTTGGATATTTAATGACGGATTTGGTTAATCTTAAACAATCGTAAGTCCATTTTTTCAAATAGAACACCTTGTATGCTATTTCTATAGCCTTGTACAGAATTGACTTTCGAATGGGACTATGGTTCTATAAATCCATCTCTTGTTTTCAAATTACTTACCGTTTTTTTTTTGTAAAAACTAAAATAGTTTATTTTTTTACGAAATGCTGTGAAATTATTAGCAGACATGAAAACGAATAATACAAGTTAATTGTTGCTACTCATATACCCATACTGACAGTTCAGTAATTAAATATTTTGATTCTCATTGTTAATTATTAAATATTATTCTAATAAAGAATGGAAAATGAAAATACCTATTCAAATTGAAAAAAAATTTAAGAAAACAAGGTGAACAGATACGGTAGACTAAATACAGATAACAATAGTAAAAAAAGCAAATAAACCATAAATAAAATGAATAATTAACGATCTCAGCTGATAATAATTAAATGTATTACTTTAATCGTTCGATTTGCCCCCCATCACCCTGTAAGCAATTGTTTACCCTTCCGGGAAACTCATGTGTAACAGCTCTAACCATTAAACTAATACATTAATTATTATGAGCTAATATCGTTAATTATTTAATTTTTTGTTTAGTTGTTTTTTTTTACAATTGGTACACGGAGAAAACCAAATTTTTATGACAACGCAAAAATTACTATATTCCATTGTAAATGACTGAATTTTCCATAGGAATTGTAGAATTTATTAGGTAACTTGTAGTAATCTCAATTTTGGCATGTTTTTTAAAAATTATTTCAAGTTTCTTAATTATTACAATTTAGTTTGTAATATCAACTAAATTACTTAGTAAATTTATTTCTACTGGGATTTTATTTTTACAAATTCGAGTCCAAATTGTAATTTTTATTATTTTCGCTTACGAAGCAACCGGGGCTAGTAGGATAAATTGTGAATATCGCTTTAATATTTAGATAAATTTTCCTTTTTTCATTTTTTCCGTGTATCTGTAGTTCACCGTATTACAACTAATTTCTTAAAATTCTTCGTAATTTGAACACGTATTTTCATTTTTTATTCTTAATAAAAATAATATTCAATAATAGACATTGAGAATCAAAATATATCATTACTAGACTGTCTGTATGACTATTTGACTGACACTAATTAACTTGTAATATTTGTTTTCAAGTTCTGCTCAAAATGAAGCAATTTTAGTTGCTTTCACAAAGAACATTAAGTAACTTGGAAACTTAAGAAGAGAGGTATAGGGAAACATAGTACCATTCGAAAGAGAATAAAATTCTGCATAAGACTATGAAATACATACAGGGTGTTCCATTTGAAAAACTGAACTTACGATTGTTTGAACTTAACCAAATCCGCCATTAAATATTTGACACAGTGTATGTAATTAACTCATTTTGAAAGTATGGAAGGGAAGTTTGAGGGTAAAGCTATCTTTCCTGAGAATATTGTAGCTTTTTTACTGTAAAGTAAGCATGCTTTTTTGCTATCTACTGCTCTGTGCTACTTTATTAAAAAAAAAAAAAAAATATCTCGAAAAATCATAAGTAAAATTCAAAATCGTTATGATATATAAGATGTTCTGTTTAAAATAACGAAATTGATGTTAACTTCAGGTAAAATCGGAAGTTTTACATAGGTGACGTTATTTTAACTGAGGAGAGCATACCCAATAACGGTATTGACCAATTTTTCAAAATTAAAATCGAAGTAGTTTCTTAAATATTGTAATAGGTGGTCACGGTGAGGCACCCTGTATACATCAGTTCGTAATATTACCCTCTAAACAAATACAGAAATCAACAGGTAAAGCGGCAAATGCTATACTATACCTAATAATATACAGGGTGTCTCACATGACACTCCATCTTCTATAGCGGTCTTGTTATTAGTTTGTGACAAAATTGTATCGTAAAAATGTTTTCTTCAGTTTTATTATACAGTTCCCAAGAGTATCCGTGAATCTACAGTATGTTCAGTTTTCGCTGGCAGATACCCAACGTTGTTATTATTAATGGAACATGAGTAAAATTTTCAGTCTACCATGAAGGCATAGTTAGGTCATGCATCTGTACATTTTGTATCACTATATATAGGGTTGTTCGGAAAGTCATTTCGTTTTTTGTTGTGGAAATGAAAGATAGTTTTCGTATAATAAACAAATAATTTATTAAATTATATATTGACCGTTCTGGTCCAACACCTTTTGCCATCTTTCTGGTAGTAGCATAATTCCACGCTCATAAAATTTTTGGTTTTTGCTGGCAAAAAACTGATCGAGGAGGTTTTTGATCCGATGGTCTGGAGAATATGGTGGGTGTAGCATTGTATCCCATTCAAGCTGTAAAAGCTTTTGACGAGTGACCAAACTTGTGTGACGTCTCGCGTTGTCTTGGTGAAACACTGACACACACTGACCTTTTCTGTTGAAGTGCATCATTCATTTGTCCAGCTGATGACAGTAGACTTCCGAATTAATCGTTGTGTTATCTGGTAAATGTTCAAAAAAACGATTCCTTTAAAATCCCACCAAACAGACAGCATCACCTTTTTTTGGTGAATATCGGCTTTGGAAATGGTTTGAGCCGGTTCATCTTTTTTGCTCCATGACCTCTTGCGTTT